CCCGCGTAAAAAAGCATCTAAGCCCCTCTGAGGTTGGGTCAACAGTCGCGCCCTGCACGGCCCTGAATATTTGGATCGGGGCCTGCTTCGGCAGATGAACCAGCAGGGCAGGCTCGGTCTGCTCCAACACACTGTGTATCATATGCTATACATTATAAGAAAGCATAATATGATTTATGTTTTTATATAATATAGTTATGATATATCAGGCAGGGATGTATCAGGTCTCAGCCTTGTTTAGACTCGTGGTGCTTGCCTCATACTCCTCAAGCCCGCCTTCATCTGCTTGATCCAATATTGTGCTGAATCAATGCTGCCCTGCGCCCGAAGAGACTTGAAGAATATCCGTCTCTTGTCGCGGATTGTCTCATCACAGCTTACGCGACACCTTTCCCTGCTTTCTTGTTGTCTGGATTCGAATCTACCCTGAAGGCTGCTGACGATCTTAGTCCCGAGCTGAGATGTTTGGACGAATGACGGGTCCATGGTGCGGCTGCGCTTTACCTTCTGGAACATCTCGATGTAATACTTCAACATGCAGGAGTAGTGCCTGTTGAAGGTATCTTCTCGACCTCTCGCATGGCAGTTGGATCTTGTCTAGAGTCTGGTTCTTGTACAGCTCCTTCGAAAAGTTCACGTCTCCGCAAGTCAGGGGACCGCAGTTCCTGGTGTTGAGCCGCATTCAGCGAAGTTGCTGCGTAGTAGCAACTGAAAGCCGAGGCCGAGACTGACACCATGATTCCAGCTGCGCAGCTCTACAAGGAGCCTCCGCGCTGCCAACTGGGGGTTTCCGAAAATAGGGGGCCCTAATATAGTACCCTAAATAGTAGGATCCTTATTATAAGGACCCCAAAATAAGGTACCTTCCGTGCAAGAGAGTTTTGGCCAGGAACTGTCTGCTGATGGTGTGAAACCAGCAGGCCTGAACTTCCAGACCGTGTAGCATGACAGGCCACGGAGTGCGGAGCCACGATTTCTGGATCTCAGGCGTGATGTGGCTGGCCACAGTAGGTCACGGTGCATGTGGCTTGGCTTGAGGTAACTGCGGTGCAAAGTCAAGCCAGATAGTTGCCAACTGAGGCCAACATCGACTCGACGTGGTAGACCGGATCCGGTCCTTTCTCATGTCATGAGCCTTCTGTACATAAGTCTTCAGTCTTCGCGTGTTCGCCAATGCAAGCTCGACCGCGATAGGATCCACACTGCAGAGCTTAAGCAGCAATCATAATTGTTCAACTTAACATCAAGCATAGCAATGATGATGGTGATCGCAATAGTAATAAGCATAAGATTAGTAATTTAAACTTTGGACTTGCTGATGGCCACGGAGTACACAGTGCGAAGTCAGCATGTTGCCCCAGGCAAAGCCCCAGTCAATGTCCGAGCTTGCGCTTCTAAAGGAAGCCGAGATACAGTGCGCCTCAGGAGCCCTAAGAGCTAAAAAGACATGTTGCAAGAATGGCACCGGAGTTGATGAGAACGATAAGCCTAAGCCCTTAAACCAGAGTCAGCCAGAGTCAACTCTGCATTGTGAAGGCAGAAAGAGGTCGCTGCCTCCGGCAGCGGGCGCTGGGTTGCAGACACCGCCGGGGGTGAGAAGTGCTCCCAGCCATTCCAAGCGAAATGGAGTTAAGGGTTTAGGACATGGGGTGGGTAGTTCTCTAAGTCAGGTTCCCTTTTCTGCATCCTAAACCCTAAACCCTAAAGGGCCCTAAACCCTTTTAGCATCCTTTTCATATGGGTACCGCCTTCTCTGGTTCCTCCAACAGGGCCCCCAATTTAGAGAACGTCCCCCACACGCTGAATCGTCGCAGCACCATGAACAGCCGTCGACTTCGAGGATTCGACAGCGTCGGCATTAGCAGCACATAAGAACAATCGTCATAACAATAATAAGAATTATAGTTATTAGTATTAATGGTAATAATAATACTATCTATAGTAATAATCGTAGCTATAATAGTGGTAATAAGAATAGTCACAACAATATCGCCGTAGAGCCTGCGCGGAGCATCAAGTGGGATCGTTTGATGCCAGGTCAAAGAGAATGACCATCTTACATTTCAACGATGTCAGGGACTGAGCGAACCAGGTGCTGTCGAGCTCTGAATTGAGTAGTGGTTTGCTTTGCACTGCTTACTTGCTTCCAGTGCCAATACATGACACTATGTTAGAAGATGTTGTCCTTGATAAGCCACATCTAGCACTAGCTGGGAATCAGGTGTCGGACTGCTCTTGCCCAGGTATACAACGTGGAACCTCGTTCCAAGGAAGTGGCCTCAGCAGCAAGATCATGTTTCAGTGGATATAATGCAGCACAACTTCAACGAATTTCCGGAACCTAAACCCAAAACCCGAAACCCTAAACCCAAAACCCTAAACCCTAAACCCTGAACCCTAAACCCCAAAACGTCGAGAATCCACCGAAGCCGACCAGGAGCCGGTCGGGGGCATTGCGCGCTTTGTGACGCGAATGAAAGAGCTCAAGGCCAGTTCTCTGTGAGCTGCTGAAAAGGGGTTTAGGGTTTAGGGTTTAGGGTTTAGGGGTTTTGGGGTTCAGGGTCTGTAAGGCTAAGTTTTTATATTCATATCTCAGTATTAATATATATTTCGGGGGTATTGCTGGAGGCAGCACAGTAGCTGTGCAAGCCCTTGTCAGGCCGAGTCGCTAGCTCGAGGAGAGCACGAGGCACGCAGAAAGCGACAGATATTAGATATTTTAATCTTTAAGTGTGTTACACATATGTGTTATGTCTTATATATGTTATATTACATTATATATATACACCTGTCATATACTGTATATTATGTATCGTGTGTCATATATTACATATTATGTATGTTGTATTATGTAGTATCTAATATGTAGTATATTTTTCGCATAAAGCATATAGCATAAAGTATATAGTAGTATATAGTATATAGTATATATCTTTTAGTATATAGTGTGTAGTATATGGTATATGCAAAAAAGTATATGGTATATAGTATACTTTGTTTTATAAATGGCATATGTTACATATAAGAGAAGAAGAAATGTTCGACATATTGAACATCATATATCATGCATTGTATATTAATAGCCATTCCCTGCTGCTGCTGGCATACAATTTCATCAATCTGCTTAGCAGAACCCTGACTGCAGCTGATCATTCTTGAGGCAGTTATCCTCTTCAGCGGAGATGCGTTCAATCCCTCCCTCATGCTCGGCACTCGAACTTCGTTTCTCGTGGCGCTTTCTGTGAAATTTGTTAGTGTGGTTGTGGTATTTTCCCGCACACGAACGCGTTCTCAATTCATGTGCCTCGTTTGTTTGTTTAGCAGCAGCTGCTGCTGCTGCTGCTTCCGCTGCTAGGCGTTGCTGACTGACTTTCTGATACTGCTTTGCAGGTGTTGAAGCTGGCTTTCACGATGTTTTTTGGCGAGTTTTTCAGTCTGATCGCGCGCTTCCTTATGGGTTTGCTGCCCAACCAGCCAATTAATCTGTGTATGGATGAGAATGAGGGGCTGGGGCTAAATCACAAAATCCCGCTAGATGGCAACCGACGGACCTTCGGTGCAGTAGCACTAAACCCCTAAACCCTAGTCCCCTAAACCCTAGATTCTCTTGCCCCTGGGTTTTGCCCTCACTGTTGCGACCTCAACCTTTGACTCGGATGAGCGAAGCTCATCCGAGTGTGACGAAATGGGGGTTTCCGAAAATAGGGGACCCCCAATATAGTAACCTAAGTAGTACAATCCTCATTATAAGGACCCCAAAATAACGTACCCCCCCTAATGTTCGGAAAAGTCCCATAAACGTCCTCCCCAGGTCCACGACCACGCACGGAAGGTGGAGTTCTTTGACTGTGTTCTGCAAGTGTCAAGGGAGGGAGCATTACGATAAGACTCTATTACTACGAAACTATAGTCCTAAGTGCTATATATAAAACGATAGTATTATAATATCTCTAATACAATAATACTACAATACTATTGCTACGAAAAGTATAGTAGTATAAAACGATAGTATTCTAATGCAATAGTACTACAATACTATGGCAGGGAAGTGTCACCAACTCTGGCCTAGACCTGAGTACAGAGGCAGTCTACAAGTTCTTTGAGCGATGAACGCCTGGAGTTGAAAGAATGAAGAACCTGGGCGTTATCGCCCTAAACCCTAAACCCTAGACCCTAAACCCTAGACCCCGTAAACCCCCTAAACCCTAAACCCTGACAGGCACATGGTGCCAGCTTTGAATGCCATAGGCCAGACGCTCAATCAAAGCGGGAAGGTGGCCGGTGCATGGGCTTGGCTTGTCAGGCATCCACACGGCCTGCTACGGAAATCATGACTTCGATTTCGGCGTCGACCAGCTGGAAGAGTCATGCTCTCTGTCGTGTCTTCTTGCGGGTCTGAAGAGCATCCTTGCCGACGTCATGCACATTTTGCAAGCATGGAACCGCCTCGGCTTCTCTGGCTCAAGACGGGCTGGCCTAGGGAAATGGGAAGTCGTTTCTTTCCTTGGTGCATTCAGAGCCTAATGAGTAAGCCAGAGGCGCTTGCCATGCGTGACATGCCTGCCTGTGAGTCTGCTTGCCTTCGTGCTTCTTTTTGAGACATGTGTGTGTGTGCAGGTGGTGCTTCAGTCACTGAAGAATACACGGATGTGCAAGCCAACGCCTTAGTCGTACGGGGGAGATCCGAGCAGCGACAGGAGCTTCGCTGAGCCCTGAGGTTTGCAGAAACCGGGCGTTGTCGCCGAGGGCAAGCATGCAACTTCGCCCACTCCGAAGCAGACCTTCGTCCCCAGCCGGATCTGTACAGCACGCGGCTATGTGCGCAGTTCAGCGCAGGCGGCTGCCGATATGGCCGACGCTGCAGGTTTGCTCACGGAGAGGCGGAGCTTCGGCCGATCATCAACGACCAAAGCGTCCAAGAGCCACCCCAAAACCAAAAGGGCCGCAGCAGAGGCCGTCAAGGCCAGGGCTCTCAAGCCGATGCTGCTCCTGTTCTTGACATGGAAGGCGACGCAGCAGCGAGGCCCAATTTTGGCCCTGGCCTGCAAGGCCCTCAAGGCCTTCCCATGGCGGTTGCCTGGCCCGAGGTGCAAGAAGTGCCCCAGCTCGCCCCAGTGCCGGTGCCCGCATCGAGCTCACAGACAGAGCTTCCAATGTGGGGCGAGGACTGGGCACGAAGAAGACCGCAGCGGGCCCCCAGGCTAGCCACGGACAGCATTTACAATGCTCAGCCTTCGATTTCTGAGCTGCACCCGGCAGTGTACCCTTTCACACGGGCCTCGACAGAGGGAGTCTCGGCTCTTCTGGAATTGAGTTTTAAGGTTACCAGAAGAGAGATATTAAATAGTATGGTTCCCTTATTTTTAAGTAACTTATATTAAATTCCTGAACAAGGCCCCCTACACCCTAAAGCTTAAACTCCCAAACCTTTAACAAGAGCCAGGAGTCCACCCTGCAGCTCCGTGCGGCGATATTCCTATTCCCGGGCTCGCCGCACGTCTCGCAGCCCACCGACTTCCCGGCAGCCCTGGAAACTGGGTTCTTGTTAAGGAACACTGAACACTTAATGACGACAGTAAGGAGCCTAAGTTATGTGACTGTTGTCAGGATGCCCTATCATTCACCATGGATCCTTACTACAGGAAATTTTTTTGCCATGGATCCCTATTATGGCATGTTATTTGCCATGGATCCCCATTATTGTTATGGCATATTATATATCATGGATCCCTGTTCTGGTGAATTAAGTTCCTTGCCAAGAGCCCAGGAAAGGGAAAGAATGCGGACCGCCTGAGCCTGGACGACCCGGTCTCTGAGCGTTAATTTGGTAGCAGGGGAATCATTCATTCCCACGCGGACTCAATGTGCCTGAGGTAGCACGGACATATTGGTCGTCGTCGTCGTCGTAGTTAGT